CCATGTGGTGCAGGGCCCAAGCACTTGGGCCATCCTCCACTGCCTTCCTGGGCCACAGCAGAGAGCTGGCCTGGAAGAGGGGCAACCGGGACAGAATCCGGTGCCCCGATCGGGACTAGAACCCGGTGTGCCGGCACCGCTAGGCGGAGGATTAGCCTGTTGAGCCTCTCCTGTATACGTTCAATCATCTGATTCCTCATAGCATAATACAATGGAAATGCTATGTAGTTGTTTAACGAGTGATCACAAGGAAAAAATCTGCATGTGTTCAGTACAGGTCCGATACGAGAGCCGACTGTACTTAGCTCAAACTGAACCTAACCGCTTCATGAGTGTGATCACTGCCACTCCATAAGGTCATTTATTCCAGCCAAATATTTTTAATTTAAGTCTGACATCGATAATTAAATTTGTTTCCATTTTTAAATTCCTTTTATTTTAGAAATTTGCAACTAAAGGCTTGCAAATAAAAGTTATGATGAATTAAACTTGATTTAATTAAGACAGTTAAGGGAAGCAGGTCTGGTGAAGGTGAATTGAGGTTTGATTGATGATTTTTGGAGATGTGTGTGTGTACATAGGGAGCAGCTTTTTCATAGTAAAATTTTTTTAATGGGGGAGTATGCATTTGGGGCAATAGCTAAGATATCACTTGGGATACCCACATTCCATATCAGAGTACCTGGGTTCAAATCCTAGCTCTGTTTTTGAATCCAGCTTTCTGCTACTGTGTACCCTAGGAGACAGCAGGTGATAGTTCCAGTGGTAGAGTCCCTGCCACCCCCACACACTACCTGGACTGAGTTCCTCATTCCCAGCATTGGCCCTACTGTTGGTTGTGAGTATTTAGGAAATGAACCAGCGGATGAGACCATTCTCTCTCTCTCTCTCTCTCTCTCTCTCCCCCCTCCCTCTCCCCCTCTCTCCCTCTCTCCCTCCCTCTCCTTCTCCCTCTCTCACCTCTCAAATAAAAGGAATAAATAAATAAATAAATAAAAACTAGGTAGTAGAAGTGACAGACAAAAGAGGAGAAAGTGAAATAACTAATTTCATCTCAATAGAAAGTTGATCAAAACTAAAGATTAAAGTTCAGTATATACACAAAATTATAGTTAAAGTAATCCCTAAAAAATCCTAAAAACTCAGTAAAAACATTCCAAATTACTAGATGACTGTGTGCACATGAACACATACAGAGAAGAAAAATAACTTCACATGGTAAAATACACTAAAATAAAGGAAGTGTTTAAAAACTGAGTAACAACACAATGATGAACTGTGTTATTAACTAAGCTATTAGCTAATAGCTGCATTAACTAAAAAACTAAAAAATTTGTCATAGCAAAGTAGGAAACAAGGTAAAAAACATCTGTCTATAAGAAGGAAAGCTCTTAGGTTGGATTCTCCTTAGAGCCCAAAAGAAGTGAATGAAGATTTGTATTCAGATGGCTGAACATCATAGAAAGGACTGAGGCCCCTGGAGCAGAAACAGAGGAAGTAAGAACCTTGGTTATTGTGGAATCCAAGCACAAGCACACGAAACAAATCAAGAAGAAAAGTGCTTCATGGTAATGAAAGACAGGGTCCACAAGGCAAAACCGAGTTACACATACCTGTGCAGCAAGAAACTGTGGAGCAAAATGTATAGAAGAAAAGCATACAGGAAACAAAAGGACATATAAAGGCACATTAACAAAAAGAGGCTAATATAGCTCTTTAAGATCCTGATGCATTGGGTAAAGAATCACAGGATATAGAATATTTAAATTATATAATAACAATGTAGATCTAATTAATATATATCAAAATCTAAACCCTGAAAGCTAATTCACTCTTCAACCAGATATCTTATTTAGAAGAATTTACTCTGAATACATACTATTAATATCACAGAAAAACAGTATTGATTATGGAATTTTTGTAATAGCAGAATAAAGGAAATAGCATAAATCCCATTCCTAGAAAATTGAATAATTATGGCCATCTACTTACTGGGAACCTATCCTGATGTTTTAAAAAGCAATAAAAGATTTCTATGGACTGACATAAAATAGTTTTTATAAAGTATTGTCAAGTCTGAAAAAGAAAATTACAAAATACAAGAGGTACACCATTCATACAGAAAAAGAGGAATAAGCATCTATTATATAAGTGTTACTTTTGCATAAAGGATAAATTAGAAGTTAACACAATGTGTTAACCACCTAGGGTAGATGGGAAGAGGTATAAAGACTAGGGGATGAGAATTAGGCCCCTCACAATACATCTTTTAAAATAGCTCTTACTTCTGATCTATATTAATGTTTTGCATATGTAAGAAACAAAATTGAACTAATAAGGGTAGGAGGAAATTAAAAGAAATTTAAAAATAAAAGAAACATGATCATACGGGCGCCAGAAAATTACACAGGTGAAATTCTGTCGAAATATTAAGCAACCGTGACTATAGGGCTATGTGAACCATTCCAGGACACACAGTTAAGAAGGAGATATTCTGAATTGTTTCCACAGAGCACAATGCTAACACATGACAAAGAGATAACACAAAAAGAAAATTAGAGAGCACATTCAATTACAAACCACAAAGCAAAAATAGTAAATTACCCATTTTTGAAAATAGGTTCAAATGCTTATTGTCACAGTCAAGTAACAATATCCAATAAAAAGGTAGATTTCAAAGCAGAATATTAATAAGTTTCATAATAAAGCGTATTTCAGCATTTCAATAAATCAACACAAGAAGATAAACTAAAATCTCATCCTTTTACATACCAAAGGCATTCCATAAAATTTGGTGTGTATTATTTAGTGAGCCTGGGAGTTACAGAAGTAATTATTAAAATATTAGGATAAAATATATACATATTAATTTATAGATTTACCTTTTTATGTATTTCTAGATGGTTGTAGTCTATGTAAAAAGGGAATGTCTAGTGACTTGTTAAATGGGAGCCTCTTTCTAATATTTTTGTCAATCAGAGCATTCCATATCTCTGGGAACAAAGTGGCTTAGGGCACACCATGGACCAACCAAGTGTTGCCCTTAGATCGTTGCTGGAGCCATGATGAAGGAGGTTTTCCTCTCTAGAGTATTGCTAGTATGGCTACCAGCCTGGAGCTGCAGAAACAGACCAAGTGTGGAGAATCATGCAGAATCCAGCTAGAGCTGACAAAATAGGTTGGTGCTCAAAAAACCGTATCTTACATATATGTCAACTTACATAGACCCAAGACTGATCACAGTATAATTAATCCATTCCTATTAGTACTAAAAGGGAATTAAGCCAAATTTAGCAGTTCTGGAATATGTTAGAAATTTCTGTTATTCAATAAGGAAGAAATAAAAAATCCATTTTTTTTCCCAAAAGGACAAAACTATTAATAGGTAATTCACAATTAAACTAACTGAAGTGGTGCCTTCCCTTCCTTGTGGTGGAATGAGGTGAAAAGGTCATGCCAAGATGGCCACTCAGGTGAGAAGGTCATGCCAAGATGGCTGCTGACAACAGAAACTGCCTGGCAACAGACCGTGATTGGTTGGGGCATAGACCGCCCCTTGACCGGATTGGCTGGTCTTGGCTATATAAGCTGTTGTACTAACTGAAATAAACGAGTCTGTGGGCTGCTTGCCTCAAACCTGCTTTCACCCAACTCCCGGGGTCTGTGTGGTTACTCCACGCCTCTTGCCCCCACCATGCTCCTCCTCTCAGAAACGAATCCACTGCAACATTGTTGAGAAATCAACTGCAACACTTCCTATTATCAGAGACCTGCATGTTAAGTCAGACCAATGCAATTTTCTACATTCTCAGGTTAGCAATCATTAGAAATTTAGAGAACACTAAGATTTAATGTAAATGTGTTACAGGTTCACGGCCTGTTGAACAGGCCTGGAAGCAGAGTATGCATGTGCCCTAGAATACAGCAACTGCAGTCCTACACATCCACACATTCCATAAAACTATCTCACAAGGGCCACAGGAGTTGTAAGGTAGTGAATTGGGCTAAGTACTGTTTCCAATAGCTAGGAGCGTCCATCCAAATGTGAACTGTAAATGAAATAGAATACTCTGCAATGGTTAGAAGAGAGTAATGTTTAACTATGTGCCAAGATCTAAAAAAAATACATCATGGAGCCAAAAAGTAAGGTTCCAAATGAGATTTAAAGCACAACACTGTTTAAGCAGGTGTTTTAAAAACACAAAACTCTATGTATTTGAGGTATATGCATAGATGACAATAAAATGATGAAGGTCAATTGGAAGTAGTATGTTAAATATATGAGAAGAGGGGGGACAAAATCAGAAATGAAGAGAAGAATACAACTGAAAAATTGTAAACAGCTGCATGTGTGTTGGTACATTATAAACTGAGGAATACAAATAACTCAACTCTATACCCGTAATCTCAGATATCTTTAAGATATCTAGGCCATAGTTCATTCAGGCCATAGTTCATTCAGTTTTTTAAAAATTAAAACATATACAAAATGATTCTAGTCATGATTTTAAATTGCAAAAGCAAACAAAACAAGAAACAACTGTGAATTCACATAGTATCACTGTGAAAAATACTGCTATAAATGTGGTTGTGCTTACATAATTTTTAAATCATGGTATCTAGGCATCAGTTAGATGCTTTCAAGTAAATCCCTCAGGGAACTGAAAGATCCAGTGCTGGAAAGGACGCAGAAGAGCTGTGAAAAAGGTGACAACATGTGACAAACGGCTCCAGCTGTTAAACCCGATAGATACACCTGCTTGTCTCCATGTATGTAGTCACAAATTGCATGTCTAACTACTTTACATATTTCATAGTCGGATAAAGAAATGCAAAAAAAAAAAAAACTCTTTAAGTTCAGTATGAAACAAACTAGCAGACAAAACTGAGGCATTCAGAAAACTTTCCTCATCCCTTCCATGCTGCCCAGGCCTCCACAGCGCCCTCAACAGACCTCAGCCTTATCCTGTCTCCCACCTCTCCTGGGCAGTATTTTTTACCTGTGACCATAAAGTCTGATCATCGCTGAAGTGGTCAAGCTTTTGCTGGAACCAGTCCTCGGTGAGATGTTTCTGTGAGGAAGGTGGGACTGACCGCGACCGTCTGTGGAGGAAACTCCTGGTACCAGAACATAGCAGGAGCAGCAGCAGCAGCGACCTCAGAAGCCACCCGGGAGCACACATCATGGCTGTGTCTCTGGAGGCAGCTTCCCCTGTCTGGGCTATTTGTACTGCAGAAGATACCACACCCTAGTGCAAGACCAACCCCACCCCACCCCCCAAGCAGAATTCTTTATCCCAGAGTCCCTAGGGCCACTTGATGGTATCTTTTACCAAAAATCATAGTCAGCTAAAATCAATCCCTGGAGCAAGGGCAGTCTCTTCAATAAATGGTGCTGGGAAAATGATTTCTACATGTAGAAAGTATGAAACCACACCCTTACCTTACACCTTCCACAAAAATCCAAGACCTAAATCTATGATCCAATACCATCAAGTTATTAGAGGACATTGAAGAAACTCTGCAAGACATTGATCTAGGCAAAGACTTCCTGGAAAAGACCCCAGAAACACGTGCAATCAAAGCCAAAATAGACAAATGGGATTACATCAAGCTAAGTGGCCTCAGCACTGCAAAAGAAACAGTCAGCTAAGAGACAACCAACAGGATGGGAGAAAATATTGGCAAACTAAACAACTGATAAAGGTTTAATATCCAGAATCTATAAAGAGCTCAAGACATTCAACAACAAAACAAACAATCCAGTTAAGAAATGGGCAAAAGCTTTGAACAGGCGTTTTTCAAAGCAGGAAATACAAATGGCCAACAGACACTTGAAAAAAGCTCAGAATCACTAGCCAACAGGGAACTGCAAACAAAACAATAAGGTTTTACCTCACTCCAGTTAGAATGGCTCTCATACAGAAATCAATGAACATGGGCCGGTGCCGCGGCTCACTAGGCTAATCCTCCGCCTAGCGGCGCCAGCACACCGGGTTCTAGTCCCAGTTGGGGTGCCGGATTCTGTCCCGGTTGCCCCTCTTCCAGGCCAGCTCTCTGCTGTGGCCAGGGAGTGCAGTGGAGGATGGCCCAAGTGCTTGGGCCCTGCACCCCATGGGAGACCAGGAGAAGCACCTGGCTCCTGGCTCCTGCCATCGGATCAGCGCGGTGTGCTGGCCGCAGGGCGCCAGCCGCGGCGGCCATTGGAGGGTGAACCAACGGCAAAGGAAGACCTTTCTCTCTGTCTCTCTCTCACTGTCCACTCCGCCTGTCAAAAAAAAAAAAAAAAAAATCAATGAACAACAAATGCTGGCAAAGATATGGGGAGAAAAGTACCCTAATCCACTGTTGGTGGGAATGTAAACTAGTGCAGCCACTGTGGAACACAGTATGAAGATACCTCAGAAATCTGAATGTGGACTTACCATATGATCCAGCCTTTTCACTTCTGAGAATTTACTCAAACCAAAAAAAAATCTTTTTATGAAAGAGTTATCTGAGGGCTGGTGCTGTGGTATAGTAGGTTAAGTATCTGCCTATGGCACAGCATCCCATATGGGCGCCAGTTCAAGTCCCAGCTACTCCACTTCCAGTTCAGCTCTCTGCTGTGGCTTGGGAAATCAGTACAAAATGGCCTGAGTCCTTGGGCCCCTACACCCATGTGGGATACCCAGAGGAAGCTCTTGGCTCTTGGCTTCTGAGCAGTTCAACTCCGGCCATTGCCACCATTTGGGGAGTGAACCAGAAAGTAGAAGATCTATCTGTCTGTCTGTCTCTCTCTCTCTCTCTCTCTCTGTAACTCTGCCTCTCATGTAAATAAATAATCTTTAAAAAAAAAAGAGTTTTCTGTACCTCCATGTTAATTGCAGCACAATCCACAATAACTAAGGTATGAAATCAAGTCAGATGTCTGTCAATTGTTTACTGGATAAAGAAATTATGGTAGGGCCAGCACCATGGCTCACTTGGTTAATCCTCCGCCTGCGGCGTCAGCATCCCATATGGGCACCGGGTTCTAGTCCCGGTTGCTCCTCTTCCAGTGCAGCTCTCTGCTGTGGCCCAGGAGGGCAGTGGAGGACGGCCCAAGTGCTTGACTGGGAAGAATCACCTGGCTCCTGGCTTCAGATCGGAGCAGTACCAGCCATAGCGACTATTTGGGGAGTGAACCAATGGAAGGAAGACCTTTCTCTCTGTCTCTCTCTCTCACTGTCTATAACTCTACCTGTCAAATAAAAAAAATTAACAAAAAATAAATTATGGTATATATACACTATGGAGCACTATTTTAAAAAATAATTTTTTTCTTTTGCAACAAGATGGACAAAACTGAAAACCATCATACTTAGTGAAATAAGCCAGTACCAAAAAGACAAATAACATATATTTTCCCTGATCTAAGGTAACTAACATAGTAGCTAAAATGTAATGTATTGGAGTAAAATGGACATTTTGAGATTCAACGATTGTTTATAGCCCTTATCTCTTCTGCTGAGGAACAGTTTTTCTTGTTTGTTTGTTTTTTTCACACTATTTGTTGAACACTTTTACTTAGTGTAGGGTTAATTTTATGATCATTAAGTAAACTGGAAGTAGATCTTTGTAAAAATTAAGAGTGGGAATGGAAGAGGGATTGGAAGAAGGTTTGGACCATGGGTGGGAGGGAGGGTAGGGGAAGTGTCACTATGTTCTTTAATCTGTATACATGAAATACATGAAACTTGTATAACAAATAAAATTTTTAAAAAATCATAGTCAGCACTACTTGCCTCCACGAGTGCCGCTACTAAAATAGATACTGGAAATTTTAAATGGGATTCGAGGTGGGGAATTTGGAGGTGTCTGTTAGCAGCTTTCCCCTGGCTTTGCTGGGGTGAAGTTCCTGGCCCTGTAGCTCTCCAGGGTTGCAGAACCCTCAGGGATAGGAATTGGAGGTGACAGCAGGAAATGCTGAGTACACCCTCTTTCGTTATCTACTAAACAATGGCCTCATCTTTGTACCCTTGGCTTGGTGGTCTTCTTGTGGGACTTCAAGACCACAAACAAACACAGGGAAGCAACATGCAAGTGAATGACAGACTCCCGAGTGGTGCTGCCCTCCAACAGAGAAATCCAAGTATTTGAACCACTGCTCTCAAGTTCAGCTTCCTGGATCTCTGATTGTCTCTCTGTCAAATGCAATTATTACTGACCTCTCATTCTAATATTCATCACCACCACCATTATCACACTCTAATCAACTGTCACTTTTCCCCCAAAAAACAAGAGATAAAGAATTATCACAGCATCTTTAGCTCTGAAATGTTTTGTAATAGAGCAGAAAACACAGCTGATACACAAGGAAGAAGAGAAAAAAAAAAAAAAACAAAGAAAGGGAGGGAGGAGGCAGGGAAGAAAAGGAAAGGAAGGAGTCTTGTTAGATTCCTAGTCTTGAGGGCTTTGCTGACTCAACATAGCCTTTAGATTCTATGTCAGAGTGGAATTTTACTGAAAATATTATGGATTCTAATAATGCATTAAGGAGATGGAGTGAAAGTATAAAACTTGGACAAAAAGAAGAGCAGTAAAAATATTACAAAGTTAGCAACTGTTGCCACAAAGATAGTGACCATTGCCTAGGAAACTGCCCTACGGCATGCCTTACGCAGGACAGCACAGAGGCAACACCAGCAACAGATGACCTTGATGACCTCCCATTTTTTTTTCTTTTTCCTGCTTTAGTTATGTGTAAGAATTTGAAAGCCCTTAGGTCAAGAACTCAGACATCTTGTCCATGAAGGGTCCAATAACCAAAGAACAGACAGACCTTGAGCATGGGCCAAACATGTGGAGATTGAGTTCATGGGTCACCTGTCCACTTGCACCTATCAGAGACCATGACTCACCTCTCAGGACTCACCATAGCTACTTCTCAACAGGCCATCTCTAGTGTGACAACTTCAGTGCAAACAGCCACGTTCTTGAGCTATTAAAATCTATCTCAATTTGGATTCTTTGGATTTAGTTTTGCTCTTCCACTATAGATGGCCTTCTATATGAGTGTTACAAATGTTCTCAAAATTCACTTTAGTGGTGGTTGTAACTATAAATTTCTCAGAAATGACTGAATTATACACTGTAAATGAGTAACTTGTATGCTATGTGAATTGTGTCTCAATAAAGCTGTCAACATTAAACTGAAAGAAGTCAATCTCATCTGAAAATTTATTTACAAGCATATCTTTCAAATTCTTTTGTAGCAAATGACAAGAATTCTATTCACAGCTTCCCTCTTGCTCTTTGAACAAAGAAAGCAAGAACTCAACCCAGCAGATGTCCTGTGAGAGAAGTTTAATGCTAAAAGCTCAGTTACCACTTTGCAAAGATCGTCCTCACCAACTCAGAGGAGAACGAGGAGACTTCTTAACAGGCATGTCATCCTAATCCTAAAAGGAATACAAAGTTTTTACATATTGAGGAAAGAATAAGGGCCAGATTTATCATATTCATAAAAGAAAGAACATGTAATACAGAAGTCGGGGCCCCCGCTCAGGGTCGTGCATTGTTGGCATTGCCTCTGTGCCTGAAGGGCCCTTTCTGGGACAGTGGTCACTATGGTTGCAGCAGTGGCTAAGCTTAGGATATCTTCCTGCCCTTCTTTGTTGTCCAAGTTTGAACCCTTTCAATGTGTTAGACTCTATTATCCATCATATTTTGGTTAAGTGGTGACCCAGTATTTGATTATAATTTTTACTGATTTATAGTTTATATTTAATCAAATGCCCACACTTTAAGAATTGTGTTCCATGGAATCCCAATTGTAAAATCAGCTTTATTGTGAGATAATCTATATACAAAAAAATGTAGAAAATGTAAGAAAAGCGGAAAATGAAAAAAAATGCATCTTACACTGGTGTTATACAATGACCTTTCATTGGCTTACGATGGTAAAACTCTCTTAAAACAGATGAATTCAATTCAAAGGAAATTTGCAAAGGTTATGTACTACAAAACTGAATTGAGAGTGCTTATGATAATGGTAATAGAATACTACAGATACATGATACCTCTTTCTCATTGAACTTTATGTCTTTCAATGTTATCAAATTAACGAAACAAATTTTGATTGGAAGTTTAAGGGATATTCAGTGATGTTTGGTTTGATGTTGACCTTTTAGACTCACCATCCAACCCACTGACACAGGACCATCACTTCTAGAATAAG